ATGTTTCCTGTGTGAGCACTCCCTTTGTATATATATATATATATATATATATATATATAAGGGAAAAAAAAGCGGCAGCACTACCGACTCACAATGTATCACAAAAGTTCAGTGATAACACTTCCAATTATTTTCTAGTATTACTCTCTTATGTGTGAAAGTGTTTGTGTTTGTGTGTGTGTGTCTCCAACTAACCCAATACTACAATTGGTCCTTTTGACTGTAACTGGTGGATGATTTCAGCTCTCTTTGAAATGAGTCCCTTGTTTGTCCTGAACAGTTAAACTGCCTGCTGTTCTTCAGAAAAATCCTTCAACTCCCACAAATTCTTTGGTTTTCCAGCATTTTTGAGTATTTTAACCCTTTCCAGCAATGACTGTATGATTTTGAGATCCATCTTTTCACACTGTGGACAACTGAAGGACTTACACCTATTACAAAAAGTTAAAACGCTCACTGATGCTCCAGAAGGAAACACGATGCATTATGTCCTACCTATATATATATATATATATATATATATATATATATATATAAGAGAAAAAAAAGCGGCAGCACTACCGACTCACAATGTATCACAAAAGTTCAGTGATAACACTTCCAATTATTTTCTAGTATTACTCTCTTATGTGTGAAAGTGTTTGTGTTTGTGTTTGTGTGTCTCCAACTAACCCAATACTACAATTGGTCCTTTTGACTGTAACTGGTGGATGATTTCAGCTCTCTTTGAAAGCCAGATATCTTTGATGGAGTCTACACATTAGGTGTCCTGTATCTTGAAGAAAGAAGTCCTTTCTACCATGCCCATTCTCATGAACTTGAAGAGAAGTGCTATTTTGGCATAGTTGTTGCCTGACAGTAGTATGTTGGTGGCCAACATGAAATCCCCAATTAGCATGCCATGTGTGAAAGTTGGCTGTGAAGACCATTTCCAAACAGTATGGCCTGAAGAACATATCTGAAGTAAACGAAAGATTAGAAAAACAGGGTCAACAGTACATTACATAACATACAGTATATGACAAACTCTCTACAATCTAAATCTAAAGACATGTAACAAAGGTTTTTGAATAATATATACTTACCCAATCAATAATAGCAGCTGTGCCCCTGGATGTCACACTAATTTCAAAAGGTTGACAAGCCCCACACTGTAACTTGGTGTTAATATCGTGAGCATTACATCCAGATGGTTTGGGGGTGGCAGTGATGCCAGGCTCCAGCCGAGAGGGTGGGAGATAAGTGCTATAGCAGCTCAGGGGCTTTGTTTTAGTATGGGTAGATGGAGTTGGTCCATATTGGTTAGTGAATTACTTTTTGACCTCTTTACCCTTTCCTGGATGAGATGCTTTTGGTCACTGTGACATAGACACATGACCACTCTGAGCCTCAACTACATGGACAGTAAGACTTTGACAGGATTCTGCAAGAGAGCATTTAAATCTGTTTTCAGCCTTTAGAAGCACAGGATTATTACAGTCAATTTTATGTGACTGACAGGCAAGCTTAACAGGAAACTCTTCACCCTTGAAAACGGCTTTGAATTCATAAACAGCTCTTGAGAGATCATTTGATTTAAACGGGTTCAGAAAAAGAAAAAAAACACACTGGCATCAGGAGTCAGAGGCACCTGGCAATAAAGAGGATGCTGAAACGCACTACTCTTTTGGCTTCACTTATGTACAGATAGCACAGCCTTTCACCAGGACAGCAAAATTACATTATGCAAAAAATAACTGTAATCGCATTTTGTGACAGGCTATATTCAGACTGCAGTTGATTTGACTAAATTTGACATCAGTTATAACTTACCCATGATGGCAGGAATCATAAAACAATGAATGAAAAATATAAACGAGTCTCGTGCTCACAAAGGCTGCATTTATTTAATCAAATGTCATTTTTATTATGTTATTGTAATTTTTATTATGTTATTCTTAAAACTAACACAACAGAAATACCAAGGGAGTTTCAGTACTTCACAGACACTCCCCACAAGACCTGCTGCTAAAAAAATGGGCCAGTATTACCCAGACGAAAAACAACATTCATGAAGTATCCTGTCTTGATGACAGGATTACAAGCAGAGAGAAAAAGCATGACAAAGACAATCTAGAGAAGTAGAATATAGTTATTGTGAATCTCTGTTTCAGTACATTGAAAGAGCTGCTAGATTTGTAGTCACTAAATTAGCTTATTTCATCCTTATAACTACAGTTGAGGTCAAAAATGTACATCCCCCTTTCAGAATCTGCAAAATGTTAATTACTTTACCAAAATAAGAGGGATCATACAAAATGCATGTTATTGTTAATTTAGTACTGACCTGAATAAGATTTCACATAAAAGATGTTTACATATAGTCCACAAGAGAAAATAATAGTTGAATAAAAAAAAATAATAACCCGCTTCAAGTTTACATCCCCTTGATTCTTAATGATGTGTTGTTACCTGAATGATCCACAGCAGTGTTTTTTTGTTTAGTGATAGTTGTTCATGAGTCCCTTGTTTGTCCTGAACAGTTAAACTGCCTGCTGTTCTTCAGAAAAATCCTTCAACTCCCACAAATTCTTTGGTTTTCCAGCATTTTTGAGTATTTTAACCCTTTCCAGCAATGACTGTATGATTTTGAGATCCATCTTTTCACAATGAGGACAACTGAGGGACTCATATGCAACTATTACAGAAGGTTCAAATGCTCACTGATGCTCCAGAAGGAAAAAACATGCATTAAGAGCCGGGGGGTGAAAATGGAGATGTGCACATTTTTCTTATTTTGCCTAAATATCATATTTTTTCATTTAGTACTGCCCTTCAGAGGCTACAGAAGATAGTTACATGCTTCCCAGAAGACAAAATAAGTTAAATTTACCCTGATCTTCAAATTCAAAAAGTTGTCAGAGTAAACATTTGACCTAAACTGTACATGTACCTTCTCCAAAACCTTAACCTCCAAAGAGGCTCCAAACCTCCAAATTGAAAAAAATAGAATGTACAAATTTTACTTGACACATTTTCAGATGTTACTCCATGCTTGTTTTTGGGTTAGTGTATCAACCACAAACAAAGCAAAATACAATACAATACTCACTGAAGAGGGCAGATATTTGAACATGGGCATCGGTGCAAAACTCCGTAACCTTGAGCTCCTCACAGAGTGTCTCAAAGGTACGAATGAAGGCCTCTTTCTCCATTACAACCGAGTTCCTCTGTGTTTCTCGCTTGTCTATGTTGACTATGCTGATCATTTTTTTGGACTCATTGTCCATGGCCGTGTATGTGCAGTATTGTGCACAGAATCCTGGACTGTCCATCCTAGCATCTCCTACAAATGTAGATGACAATAATTAGGTAAAAGCATGACATGTCCTACCTATATATTCTAAGGAAAAAAAGGCAGCACTACCGACTGACAATGTATCACAAAAGTTTTATCAGTGATAACACTTCCAATTATTTTTTAGTATTACTCTCTTATGTGTGAAAGTGTTTGTGTTTGTGTGTGTGTGTCTCCAACTAACCCAATACTACAATTGGTCCTTTTGACTGTAACTGGTGGATGATTTCAGCTCTCTTTGAAAGCCAGAAATCTTTGATGGAGTCTACACAGTAGATGTCCTGTATCTTGAAGAAAGAAGTCCTTTCTACCATGCCCATTCTCATGAACTTGAAGAGAAGTGCTATTTTGGCATAGTTGTTGCCTGACACAGTAGTATGTTGGTGGCCAACATGAAGTCCCCATTTAGCATGCCATGTGTGAAAGTTGGCTGTGAAGACCAATTCCAAACAGTATGGCCTAAAGAACATATCTGAAGTAAACAAAAGATTAGAAAAACAAGGTCAACAGTACATTACATAACATATATGACAAACTCTCTACAATCCCTACAAGACATGTAACAAAGGTTTTTGAATAATATATACTTACCCATTCAATAATAGCAGCTGTGCCCCTGGATGTCACACTAATTTCAGAAGGTTGACAAGCAAGTAACTTTGTGTTAATATCGTGAGCATTACACTTTGTGACTGGTAAAACAAGGTAATTGGCCAACTGCTTCAGACAATCATGGTACACTATGGATGCCGAATGGCCAATTGCATCCTCCACAACCTAGACCTTAAGAGAGTCTTTGGTTGGAGGCATCTCAGTGGTTGATGGATTGTGGGAATGTAAGACATCGTGCACCGTGTCCTCCATGCTGATTGCTGGAATATCTTCTAAGTTAACGGCCGTCTTTGAAGCACCCCTTGACCATTAATAATTAGAGGTGTTGTGTAAAAAATACATAATTAGCAGTACCTTTATGTCTACCAACCATTTAGTCTTTAAACTTACCGAACACAGATACGTGGACTGTAGTCATCATCACTGTCATCAGAGTCTGAGTCTACTTCTTTGGTGTCATATTCTTCTAAAGATGACACCGACTCGGTCTCAAAATCCGGACACCACGTTTCATCTTCCCAGTCAATACTATTTAATACAGAATAAATACAAACTAAATGTAAAACTACCACTCAGACAATATATGTGTTCACCCAGGTGAAAAAGAAATATATTTAAATTGTGCTTTTTCAGACATACTTACTATATTTAAATTATACTATACTAAGTGCATATTAAATGTATTATTTTGAAACAACTTTAAGTATATTAAGTGTATTTCAAGATATGTTTAAGTTGGATTTTAATCTATTTGTAATATATTTAATATATTGAAATTGTGTTAAAATGGAACCACTTTAAGTATATTTAGTGCAATTTAAGTGTATTTCTTAAAATACATTTAAAATGTCCTTTTAATACTTCATGAACTACAGTTAGAGTATATTTGAAGCATCGTTTTAATGTACTTCAAGTACATTTCAATTGT